GTTTATAATTAGAATCAATTATCACTGGGATTAAATACAAGATAATTGGTTATTTAAAAGATTATATAAGGTGATAGTTTAATAAAACAATAAGGTGTTTTATAAGAGCTAGATGAAAATATACTAAGAAAGACAATTTGAGAAATAATAAATAGCTTGATAGAATGTTACGCATGCTATGGAGGAAAGCATATTACGAAAATGTCGTAAAATTATAGGTGATAAGAAGTGGTCAAAAATGGAAACCATCAATCAAGGTCATTCACCGTTGGGGTAGAAATATTTTCGTTTCAGACCTTGACCTACGTCCATCTGATTGGTGTTCTAGCGGCTTCATTTTCTGAGTAGCAGCTGTATATAAAATTCTATATGTTTTTTTATCAAATAAAACCGTCTTCCTTAATTCACTCACAGGCCCATCTTTTGTCTTCTTATTTTCGCTGCTCAATGAAGTACCAGATGTGGGGGAGAACAGTCGCATTACTCGTATCCAGTTCAAGTATCTCGTTACGTTATTATTTATTCGTTTATTATTAGAACCCACGTCCTACTCCGACTTAGTCAAACCAATAGCGATGAAGGGATATCTACAGTATGGGACCAGATTATCTGGGATAGGATGCTAATGAATTTGTGCATCTCCAATCGAGCCATGGTAGGTGTAACGGCAACACTCACTTATTTTGAACACACAACTCAGACTATGACTGCTTCTCCAGTATAAAGGATCCTGACCCGAGTACCTTTTCGTAAGTTGGTGGGAACCCGATACAGAATAGAAAATGATTCATTTATATCCACCTCATGCTTCGTTTCAAACAAGTGTGCTAATATGGGGCTGGTAATGCTGTTTACTTAATCATGATGGGAAGTGTTTGCTAGCGAGGAAAATTAAATTCCTAGAGCGCTGGCCGACGTAACTGGTTCCACAGGACCAATCGAACTAATAAACACAAGAGCAGCTGGTCAGTCTACACAATTCATCGTTCAGTCTCGGTGTCACCATTGGGCGTATAGAGAATGAATATTGTGATTTATCAGCATTGAAAGTTCTCTGAATTGATCTGTGTAGTTTGTGAATCGATATCTCGTTGAGCATGTCACCTTGAAATTGTACGTGAATGCGTATCGTGGTTTTCTGCTAGGTGTTAGAACATTCTTTCTTACCATTTTTGTAATCATCTGTTTCTTCATAAATTAATCAGGATAGACATTTTCGTTTAGTGAGTTGTATAAAATTGTCAGTTCTTCGTCAATTGTATCTTCTGTAACTTGGGGTATACCAAATTTCTTTTGCACTGAGGGGATATTTATTGCCGCGTTTACGTATATGAACCTTCAAGAATGAGTAATTATTTATTCCCTTCCTAAAATTTCATTAGTTGTTCATTCATATTGTGTACTGAGACAGAACAAGGTAGTGTTTGTGATTAGATTCTGTTTACGTTTAACAGAAAACAACATTACCTGGTTTTATACCTTTTAAAAGTGTTTCAAACGGGGATTTCCCCGAATGAGAAACGACTAATTTATGTCCACTTTACGGTTCGTTTCAAACAAGTGTGCTTATATAGAGCTGGTAATCGGGTTTATCACGTATTTACTTAACCACCATGCGAAGTGTCCACAAGCACAGAAAATTAAATCCCGAGGGTGGCGGCCGACTGTATAATATTATAACCTAGTAAAATATTATCAACAAACTGATAAGCGGAATCTCTATACTAATGACGTTTAATTTCTCAAGATGTACACATATCGAAAAGAATGATCTTCGTTCACTCAAATGACTTTTGAATATACACCAACAGTGGTTTATTTGAAGATAGAAACTATGAATATCTAATACATGCTAGTGTCTTTTACCAGAGGCTTGCTAAAATTAAAGACAAGATTAAGACTGAATTGTATGTGATATACAGAAAAAGTTGTTTTGTTAACTGCCCTTAAAATGTCTCTTCTTTCACTTATATGTTGCATGTACATACAGATAACTGAATGACCTGAAGACAAATACGACCATAATAAACTTCATCAATCTGAAATCAGTGTGGAGGTCTACTGCACTTAGCATAAAGCATGAACAGGATCCGGATTTTCAACACCAAGTCACTTAAGTCAGTGCTTCTATATGATAGTTGAGAGACTTGGCGCGTCACGAAAGCATTTCCAAGAAACTACAGATATGCATCAACAGCCGCCTACGCTGGCTTGATACTGAAGATCAGAATAATAAGAATAAGCAAGGAGGAACTCTGGCTGGCAACGAACCAACCAAGAACCTATCACCCAACAAATATGCAGAAGAAAGTGGAGACGGATTAGACATTCACTGAGAAGACCGTTTGAAGATATCACGCGCCAGGCCCTCGAGTGAAATCGAAAGGGGAAACGACGAGTTGGGCGTCCGAGGGTGACATATAGGAGATCGTGTGAGGAAGAAATGAGAGTTTATGGGGAGTCGTGGAGTCAGGTTCAAAAAACTACAGAGAAGAGAGTGAAATGGCGACGTGCTACTGAAGCATTATGTTTCACTAGGAACCTCAAAGACAAATAATAATAATGATGATAGTAAGCTTTCTAATAATAGGCAAAAATATTGCGTAGGGATTTAAAACGCACGTCATAACTGCTTGGGCTTTTCAACAACGTGCATGAAAACATTAACTTCACAAATCAACACGATGATAGTGGTAAATTGAAGTGTCTGGACGTCAGTATTCAACTTAAAACAAATGGCACTCTTCCGAGAACTTTGAACAGTTTCTGTTCAATTTGGGGTTTATGAGGATTTGTTGGTTTCAGATTAGAATTTATCATGTATTGAACTCAATTGGAGAACCATTGTAAACCTGGGAGCACTGAATAGCAGTTTCGTCCTGGTATGGGACTCCTCAGCAATGCACACCCATGACGTCGCACTACCAGAGATTGAACCCAGGTCCCGCGACCACCACATTACCATTGAGCCACTGGGTCAGAATCCAATGGTCCATATTTCCAACTTCTGTCAGTTCACGACCATCTCATTGGAGCTTCAGGAATCATCTCTCGAAGCTGTTCAGTGCTTCCAGGTTTCCAATGTTCCTACAACTGGTGTCAGTTTATGATGAATACCAACATGAAATCAATAAATCCCCAAATACAGTTGGTCTAATGCGCATTGGTAACTAGCTTCGGGCTGAGACTCTAACAAGCAGATATTGCAAACTTGGTTTTTTAATACAGAAAACTGTGACTATTCTTTCTTCTTGCATACACCCCTCTTATCGATTGATTTCTATTCGTAGTTATTTTGAAGGTCTTTAATTTTTATTCATGTATCTGAATAATGCCTTGATCTCAGGTTGATATTTATCACGGACACCAGTTGGAGAATCACTGGGAGCATTGCATAGCTGTTTCACCCTAGTGTGGGACTCCCCAGGAATGTGCACCACCAAGTTGAATTACTCTACTCCTCATAAGTGACTTGTTTCGAGATGAGATACCCAACGTTCTAAAGACAACATGTGACCGGTGAGGCCAACCAAGTCAGACTAGAAGATAGTTATAACGACAGTATTGAATGAAGGTCGCACTATATCGTGAACTGAGATATGGGGAATTTGGATCACTGGACCCCAACCCAGTGGATCAATAGTAACATGCAGAAGCGGAAGATAGTGGGTTCGAACCCTGGCGGGGTCACCGTTGAGGAGTCCCATACTAGGGCGAAACATAACTGATGTCCCCAGGTTTCCAGTGTTTCTTCAACTGATGTCAATCTATGTTGAGTTTTTTTCTTTTACACTGTAAAAGACTTGTTCTTTATTGATTTGACCAAAGTTGTCAGTGAAACGATATAGGTGAAGAATGCTTACCCCCATCCATGAGTTCATAAATAATCATTAAAATACAGTAACAGCAACAACTCCAAAATGCAAATACACCCAGTACAATATTTTCTACTATTGTTATTTTGTTTTACTAGTGTACCTTCATAATGATCACCTAAATATTTATCTAACGCATTAAAATAAAAACGCTTTACTTAAGCTTTCTTCACACCATACATTTTGATAACGTAAACAATACACATCTGGAGGTAATCAACAGAAAGTTCCACCATACCCAGGTTTCGTGCTGGTTGGCGCTCGTCAGTAAGGCGTAAGTACAACCTGGACGAAGCTGAAGTCTTGTCAGGAATTCAAACCTGTATCATCCCATGTTAGACAGTCAGCAACATTACCACTCAGTTATTTGACCTGCCATTGACTGACTGGATTACATATACTGATTTGTCATTGGAATGCTGACAGGATTGTATCGATCATTTCATAATGTACCCATCAAGCTAGAAAGCTCAGCATAGATAGAATTCGGTCATTACTCAGAACTAGACAACATGAAATTGGCTGTCCTCCGACTACCAATCAATGTGCAGTACCGACTTATCAGTTTGGAGAAATAATAAGCACATAACACGCACACATAGACCATGATACACAATCATAATTATACACAAACAATCATTAGATAATACAACAATAGGAGTGATAATTTTACTCAATAAATAAACAGTACAGTAATTATGAAATTACCAACAAACAATAATGAAATATGCAGAGATAAAACACAGACATAATACACTATCAGTTATTTCAGTAGTACATTTTACAGGTGAAACAAATTAACTATTGGTCAAAGAAAACAGAGTAAATATAAGAAAATATGTACACATAGCAGTTAGCGAGTGGAAAAAAAACTTAACAAATTCTGAAAATGAGATAGTTTATTGGCACTGAGAAAATCTATAAATAAATAAATAAATAACCTCCAGTACTGAACAGATTTCTATGATTGATAGGTTAAAATGTTTTACACTTAAATTATGTTGCAGAGAGAAAGAATCTTGAGTATTGTAAAAGGTGAAAAAACAAAAACAACTCTCTGTATCTCTCTCTCGCTCTCTCTTTACATCCACAGCTACCGCAGGAACAATAGAAACTATCAATTATCTAATCATCTTTAGGCACATTCATGAAAAGGTAAGACATTGATTCATCATTATAAATACGTCGAATAGCTTCAGCTAATAATGGACTTATGTCAACTGTACGAATTTTATGACATTGCATTTTTTGCAATTCATGCGGTACTGTATTAGTTACAACCACTTCATCTATATGACTCTCTTCAAGTAGACGTGGTGCATCTAGACTAAGCAAACCATGAGTTGCAATAACAAATATCTAAAAAGGAAAATAATGTATAAAAAGAAAAACACAATGAAGGTGTTATGCTTAAACCTTATAAATTTATTTTATGGAAAATTTAAATTGTCTTTTTCGCGCCTTTTACCGCCTTTGAAAAAAGCGCTTTTTTCCTATTGGTTAATCTCCGACTTTTAATATGACATTTCGTCTATTCACCTAAAGGACGTCTGGATTGTATATAAACGCAAGAGTTGTGTCCCTAGATTGCACCCCTGATACTTTGATTGAAGTAAATTCGCTATAGCTCAACAATATCTTTTCCTTGTGTTAGCTGAGCTATCTGTCAAAATTACGCATCCCCAAATAGTCGTTTACGAGAATCTCAAACAGTATGATTTAAACAAGACAGTGGAAACACAAGCTTTGGTTATGATGTAAGTATATCTAGCTGACAAGTCCCAAATAGGTCTAAACGCTCATCCTAGACTACTAGACTACACTGCTAACTATTATGTATGCTTAATATTATCGCAATGAAAAGACCGGTTATACTTTGTATCATGCCGCATACATTGCACAGTGAGTCACTATATTAAGTTATTAGAGTGGTGAACAACCCTCCGGCGTGTGATGTAATGGATGTTGGACTCGAACCTTAGTAGCAACATAACAACCATTCACTGGGATACAGGTGCATTCAGCTGAAGAGTTCCAAACAGAAAGAAATGCATGTCCTTGATTACGCTGCTAACCACCATCCATCCTTTGTATCAATAAGACGCACAATGTTGATTCAAATCAACGGATTCTTACTTCGAAAATAACCTCGTAACCAATAATTAAAATCGTTAAAAAATTGTGAATTTTGAACACTCATCAAATACAATTTAAGCTAATCGAGTTAACCCGTTGGATAATAAGTGTAAAAATACCATATACGCAGTAACGTAAATGTTATTATGGACAAACAAGGCTTATTTCTACACGCCTACCAATCAAAGTATACTAAAAACGAAATCACTGGGGTAAACACAAAATTTTAGTTATATCACAGGGTAAGTTTATACAACCGTTTGAAAAAAATGAAATCAAGCTCAAATAAATGTACGACTACATACATCGTAATAGTTGAAACTATCTCATAATTACTATCAGTTATGTTCTACATCCCTGAAAAGTCTAACATGTGGAAAAAACGGGGAGGTATTTTAAAGTATCCTTATCAATATTTCATCATCATCATCATCACCAATATCAACATAGGACCAGGCATTACTGCCTCACGGTCCCACTTGCCACACCTCATATCAGCACATCAAGTAAAAAGGTAGTGAGGTGAAGGATGAAGATAAGTGAATGCAGTCAAAAGAAATATAAAGTACGAGAAGAAAGGAAAGAGGAGTGACAAAATGGTGAGATTCGGTATAGCGTTGTTAAGATGAGGATAATGTGTGTATACATCTACGTCACTGACTTCGGTTCTGAGCCATATCACCTAGGGTCTCCAACCACTGGTTCCTCTTGTCCTGTGGACCCCAACCACCTAGTCTGCATCGCCCCTCTACATGGCTTAAACCAACAGTCAGACACTTCATGCATTGGTGCCATGTTCTAGTCCGGCCACCTTGGGCCTTTTTCCAGCCTGGAAAAATATTTCCCAACGACTCAATATACAGGGGGACTGTGGTCACAGGTAATATTGTAATACTTTTTATGACTTGAGTAGAATCAATAAGAGACATCGTCACAATATCAAGGAAAACAAGGTGTATTCATATAACACGGTTTATTACAACGAATAAACAAAGCTATAATTTGATCAGACCCTTCTTGTTCACTATAACCAGACAATCAAAGCAAGTCAAATAACAAATGTTTCCACTGGACTGAAGTGTGTTAAGAGTTATGAAGCACGATGTATGTGTAGATGTAAGTAGCTGTTGAAGGCTGTCAAGTAAGTTCATAAATAAGTAGGGCTCTCATGAAAAAATTATTTTGTTGGTTAGCTCGACATAGCAACACTCAACGGAAATATCAGTAAGTCCAGTGTTAATTGCATACGCCTCACTCATTGCTCCAGTACATTGTGATTCACAGTCACTGTCTTGATGGATTAGTGACACATGCTGATTGCGTTATCTCTAGACCTTTGTAGATTTAATCCCGCTTTAAATCGATATAAGAGTTTTAAAAATTCCCATCATGTAAGTTAGAACAAGATATATAAACGAATGCATATTGTTCCCAATTAGATCCTCTTCAGGCTTGACTCTAATACACATAACTAAATATACATACGAAAATTTCTACATCCTCAAAGAGTTGTTTCTTAGATGAACTATGAATGTAAATTTTGTCTTCAATAACTCATAGTATAGATAGATTGATAGGACAGCTATGGGTTCCCGACTTCACTCTGTTTTAGTTGATATATTTCTTGCCAAACTGCAGAACGGAGTACTGAAAGATGTCACTGAGATGAATATGTATCACCGTTATGTTAACGACACATTCATAATCCTGCATCAGAATGTGGATACAAACGAGGTGTTAAGAAAATGTAATGAGGTGCACCCTTCACTCACTTTCGGTTATAAGGATGAAAAGCGAGTAAACTACACTTCCTGGATGTCTTGCTAGGCAGAAGAGATGGTTCACTCAACAGATGTGTTTGCAGGAGGACTACATAAATAAGTCAGTACATACATTTTCTTAGCCACGTACCCATTTGGTACAAAGCAAACCTAGTTAAATGTCTCACCAACAGAGCGAGAAGAATATGTCCAGATGATTTAATACATGAGTTAAAATATATCAGTAACTCATTGAACGAAATGTGCTACCCTAAAAGTTTCATAAAAATACATATGGACCAAGTGAGGTGAAACAAACCTGAAATTCTTACCGTACAAAAGAAACCATTGTTCATGAAATTGCAATTTAATGGAGATGTAGCCAGAGAAGTTTTATGTCAGAGACTCTCTAAAATCATTAAGAGGACATTCTACGCCTCATAACTCTGTCTCTATCACTTTCCAGTTGACCAACTGTTGTTGCTCAGACAAAGGATGTTATTCAATTTTGCTATTTCTATATGTATTTACAAGTTTAGCTGCTCCTATGGAGAAAGCTATGTAGAGCGTACTACTAGACAACTTAATAGATGTGTTGCTCAGCATTTACCTTCATGGTAGGGAAAGGGATATATAAAAGTCAACAGCAGTTCTGTTTTATTGCTTCTTGTTGATAGTAGTCACTTGGTAGGAAAGAACAATGCTTTCACGATTACTCACCTCATACCACCTAACCATTCGAAAAGTATTCAAGCTCATCTTTTACATATAGCAGAAACTATAGGAATTCGAGCTACGAATACCAGTCTTTGTATCCAAAAGAAGTTTGCATGTCACCTATCTCTCCCTCGGTCATAGAATACTCAATAAACAACTGTATCATTGAAATGTTTCCTATCCCTTTCTTATTCTTCACTCCTTTTATATACTTGCTACATTTGTTTAAACTTTGATCACCGACTTACTTCGTCCCTCAATATTACGTAACTTTCACTTTTCTCTCACTTTATCGGAGTGTCTATGTTTTCATGCTGCTTTCTTGGTTCTTATCATCTATATTGGATGTGCTTCAGTCAACGTTATTATTACTATTATTACCAACGTTATTTCAAAACATTTATAACTGGCGGACAAATCTACATAGTTGGTTTAACCTTTATATATATTTAGGTATGCATATTCGAGTAAAGCCTGAAGAGGATCTAACTGAGGACACTATTACTCGCTTATATGTCTTGTTTTGAACCGACATCACACATCGGAAAAGTCAGTGATCTTGCATGCATAACATGTGTCCCAGTAGTAAGTTGGTCCAGGCTGAAGATATCGTTCGGGTAGTGTGACAGTTACCATTCATTCTTTTATTCACTCACGGTGCCATAAGTCTTTAAAAATAGACTGAAACCCTTCAAACATTCACATTTGAAAGAGTAGCACGCTCAAAATTTAGTGTACATATTCAAATATCATTGTTCTTTTCCGAGTAAACCGTCTGGGTATTTCAAGACTCTTGAAATGAAGCGTAACGATGCCTTAAAACACATCACAACAATTTCATTCATGTTTTTTCGATTCCTTTATCACACATAACTACTTTAAGCAAAACATGTGCGATAGCATTTTGGAAAATAGTATACATACATCCAGTCAACTTTTATTATCTACTTCTGTGTATGACGAACCTAAATTCCATTTCTGTTTTAAGGCGTCTAGGTGAAAAGGGTTGCTAACAGAAATCGGTGAAAGCTGGTCATATGTGGTGATGAAATAAAGTTCTATTCACTTTCAAATTCATGTGATATTTCTATCTGTAGTTTCGTTGGGTATACACCCTTCTTAGTATTTGTAAAATTTATTGGTTCAAGTAAAATTTAGTGACGAGTGACCAGTCAGTTACGTTGAGCATAACAAAGTTAAAGTCATTCATTACGTCTAGTATGGGTTTTTCTCCTACCAGGTTGTTTACAAAAAGCACTTCATTAGTCGTATAACTGGAGTCATCTCAAAGGGTTTCTAAGACTCTTAACAGGATCATGAAGTGATGTTATGGTCTCATATACATAAGTGGCAATATAGACACTGGTATGGTTTCAAAGATCATAAACCTATTGAAGATCTACATATTTTCATTTCTTATATCAAACAGATCTATACATTGTAAATAAAGTACCGTTTTCCCTAATAACTACTCTGTCCCCTTATATCCTTGATTGTGATTGGTCAGCGCATACTTGAACGTGATTCGCGGTCACTAGAGTTTACTTGAACCAAATTACACAATGGTCGTGGCTAAAACGATGGGAAAGCACCAGCGATTAGCAGCTGAAGACAGTTATTTAGATTCACCGACTAATTTGTAATGAAAAAGCTGATGGTTAGTTAGAATGGAGGTGAGAAGAATGGGTCGAATGATTTGTTCGCAGGGACGACGACTGGAACGATTGGAGCCTTTCGGTGATATGGCTTAGAATCAACGTCAGTGGCGCAAATGCATCCCACACATAGTCTTCATATTAATCGTTATTTGCTTTACCTACGCTAATCTTCTAATAACTTTTGATGACGTTTCTCACTATTCTTTGCCTTCCACCTTGTTTATTTGTATCTTTTAGTACTGACAAGTGGTGACTTAGACGGTTACGCAGCAATTGCGGATCTTATTTTGATACTGATACATTTCACGTCTTAGTACTAACAGATTGCAGATATGAGAATGACAGATAGACTAAATCAAGATCATAAGTGCATCACTTTAAGTTGACTCCACCTTACAGTAGCATGCAAAGAACAAGTGGATTGAAAGAGACCGTAATCAAAGTAGACAATAGTGTATGGGAGGTGAAGGAATCTGATCATGAATTTTAGTGAAAAGGTGTCAAAGATTGAATACAACTGCGATATTTTGGCAGATTTCCAGCCATTTCACCAACAATCTTGAATTACTGATCCCTATGATCTCTTGGATGCCAGTCTACACCTACTTACATGGTGATATTAGAATTAGAATTTTAAAACGAATGTGGGGTCAAAGATGAAGGACTTTTCATATGTTTGCCGATATAGTCTTAATACGCAAACGCATTTTCATTCCTTTACTTTATTCGTTTTCTAATTTGCAATGGTAGCAAATGAATTGTCACATGATTGAGTGAACTTTGCACAAATTTTGTAAGCAATACTTGATGTGGATACACGACCTGTTGAATACAAAGTAAGCTGAAAAGTGTCTAACGTGTTACAGTCACCATATTGTTACATTGACAAGCATCAGTAGCGTAGTTGCATACGGCAGATATAGATTATAACTAAGTATGGAGTCGTCGATGTTTAAGTTCAGTACTAGACGCTTTCAGCAACAAAGTGTGCATCAATGCGCTAAGCAATGAGCCACACTCATTGTGTGAGGCCTATTGATACTGTCTGGCTGTCCAACCCTCGGTAGGTGGAGTGGGGTCGAAATCTGTGGGCCATTGGTTGAAAGTCAACTTCCTAGACCAATGAACCACAGCTCCACCCCTTCCATCTAGTCAATTTTTGTTTACAAATTTATGCGAAAAACCACTTAGTTGTGTCAGTTACTGGATTATGTTTGTGTATTTTTCTCAAAAATTAGTTTTAACCATTACAAAGTTGCGTTATCGTAGTCGAAACATGAATTCCAAACATCTGATTTTATTAATCATTATTGCGTACCACAATACTACCACAAAGTGATAAGTTATTAATTGCTAGTAAAAACAATAAGAAACTTCGCTGTATTAAACATGAAATAAACGTTAATAGTCAGTACACAACAGATACGGTTCACACACTATACAATCAATGAGTAACACTTTCATTTTCAAGTAATTACAGTTTCATTTCAAATATGCTGAAACCCGCTACTGAGTCTCAAATAAGTTTAGATTCCAGTCAACTTATATGGTTGGCTGCTGATATAAATTCATACAGCTGATCATATGAAAACTGCATTTCAACCAGTTCAGCTGGCTCTTTTTATTGGAAAATAAGATGCAAAACTACGAGGAAATGATTCAATTTACGGCTTTTTAGAGTTCAAATTTTATACATCACTAATAAACTCACTGATGTCATAATTTGGTCGTTTTTGGAGATTAAAACTACAGTTTCTTGATGAAATGTGGAGAGTTGTGGTTCATTGACTTAGGGACTCGACTTCCAAACAATGGGTCACTGGTTCAGACCCCGCTTCACCTACCGAGGTCTGAGTAGCCAGGTAGTATTATTAGCCCTCAAACACAATAGATATGGCTCATAGCCTGCTGTAAGAACGTGCACGTCATTGCTGAATGCATTCCCACTTTCTTCGCTAACGAATTTGTTACAGATAGTGGCTGAGGTCATCGAACAACCAGTTGAATTTAGTTATTTCAAATTCCGATATTTAGGTTAACCGGTTTATGTATTCTGTATGAGGTTTCGGTGACGTAGCAGAAGTTCAGTAGACACTTACTGAAAATATCCATTAAGCTTGATCGTAGTAAACTATCGTTCTACCGGGCAGAGTATTGTGGCCAAATTACTGAATGATATTTCTAATTTCGCAAGAAGACTCTTTCCAGAGTATGACGAACGAGGTTTTCAGAAACTAAAAGCAATCCACTTAGGTGACGTTTTCTAACTGGAGGGAAATTATAAATTATGGTAACCAAGGGAGCATATACGATATCTTTGAAAAAGTGCCTTTATAGGGAATTCATTAAACTCCTAGTTTGTCTGATATATTGTGAAACAGCAGGATTTCATTTTACAAACTATATTTATCCCGAGCTCTTTTAAACGCATCAGAAACTGGTTTTTATCAGCCTGAGCTTCTGGTCGAAGAATCAGAATGCGATTAGCAACCAGATGCTTGTTCTTGCAGTAGGCAATAAGTCATGTCCTTTATGTGGGACTAATGATACCATATGGCTACCCAGATCATGGTAGGTGAAGCGGCGTTCAGGCCCGTGGCCCGCTGGTTGGAAGTCAAGTGCTTACTTCAGTAAACCAAAGCTCTACAGCAGTCAGCATTTCTCATTTCATCTGGGCTTATATTTCTTTATGAAATCAAAAACAATCTGGTTTTTGCATGTATTCTGTGAAAGCTATTTTCAATGGTGTCGTTCGACAGATTAAGGGGACTGAATGACATACATTTAGTGGAGTAAACAAGTCCACGCAGAGCAAGTATGTTCACTGGTCGTCTAGATATACACCTATCAGGCTTACCACTGAAGATTGAGTGATGGGATACAAAAATAGCCTGGATCCTTTTCAAACGAAGGATATCTCATAACACTTGGTGGTTCAATTCGTGTTTCAACATACATTATTTTTTAAAAAAACATATACTGTAATAAGCCTTTTTCGTTTTACATCATTTAAGGGAATTAAGGCAATCACATACCTTGTATGCACCTCGTTCATGAAGCAATTCAGCTGCAGTAACAAATTTCGATACATCATCTATAATATCATCAATAATGATTGCGATTCTTGAATTCACATCTCCAACTAAGGTTAAAGGTGGTTTGGCTTTAGGTATCATCATTGGCAATAGTTCAAGGCCAATTTGTGTAGGTCTAAAATATTCAAGGATAAAAAAAGTAACAAGTATTGACACATTTCTAAGGTCAAATAAAATTTAAAAATCAGTTACCATATGCGTTCTACTCATTGCGCTCTAGGCTAGTTATACTTTTCAACTTTTGACCAGTGATAATGACGCCACTCAAAAATACCATACGGGTGTACATGGTTATAATTCGTACTACGTAGGTGTATGTATTTTTTTTAAAGCACACGCCTGGTACAACACGGACATCACGAAATAAGCCATAATTAACTAATTTAACACATTCTCGACCTACAGCTGCTACGCTATGATGGAAGTTCAAAGGCGAATTCGTACCGCTGGCTGGATTGGATGTGACAACATTAAGGTGTCTGTCTTAGATAACCAATAGTCCCACGCTCATACTGCCTTCCCTATTGGAAGGAGAAGTGGTTAGAAAAGGTACACCCCAAAAATATCCCACTCCTCCCTGCCCTGCGGTCGACTAGGTCCATGCAGTATGGGTCTTATCTATCCGGTGTTATAACAACCAAATCGCAAATTAACAATCCTCAAGAGGCTGTGTGAAAGACTTCAAGCATATGTCCTATAGGCTCTACACTCACACAAATCTCTTTCAGGTACCCTCCAAGAACAACTTCCACAGTGTAGGCAGCCGGGAATTGTCAACTGCCCGCATGCTTCCAGTAATATACAAGATCCAAGTGAACATAACGTATAATCTCTATCTATGCTTCCTCCTCTGCCTTTACCTCCAGATACCAATATTTAGTCTCTGACAAATTCATCAGCCTCTTGCTCTGTGACCACCGTTAGCTATAAAAGTCCATGAAATCTCACTCCTAGTCTCTTAAGATCCCTCTTTCGATTCCATATTGCAGCTTTCAACGTCCAAACCCTGTTAAATCGGACATTAGGCAATGCTTACCAGAACTCTTGAACCTGGAACGAAGCAAAGCAGCAAGACTTGACGGTTTATCATCTGACGTCTTAAGAAGGGAGGTAGAAAATACTAAAAAGGCGGAGGTATAACGTAGTGTAGACAGATAGACAGACAATCAACGTAGAACCTCGCACACAAGTGCATCTGTTTACAAGTTGCAACACTTCACAGCAGTAAACAAGGAACAAGTGGACAGGAAAGATTGATATCAAAGTAGAAAAAGGTATATGATGGGAGGAATTTAAAAAAGTTAAACCAAAACATCCAGGCTTTAGAAGACTGTGTGGGAAACGGAGGTAGTGCTATCAGAGTGGTCTACTTTACTGTTCGTTCCAGTATAAAAGAAAGTAGAGGTGCTTTTGTGACAAAAAGTATGGGGATTATCTTGACTAGTAGTTTCCAAGATTATTGGGTGCATACTTGTCCGACGCCTAACTGCAATTCGAGAACAACAAACTCGAGAACACCAGACATGTTTCAGACCTGTAAAAAAATATATCGATCAGATTTTAACCTTTGACAGATTCTGAAACATATGCACACATACCGGAAGCCGGCATTCGCCATATTTCTTGACCTGAAGGTGGAATTTAACTCTGTCAACCATGAGGTGTTAAGTCGGTCTCTAAATGTGAAAGGGATTTGAAGCAACTATGCAACGCTAGTCGAAGCTCTCAAATTTCAGTGGCCGTGCAAGGGCTTATGGAGAAGTGTCATCTGGATTGACAACTACTGGTGTCCACCAGGGATGTATACTGTCATCATTGCTTTTCAACTTCGTTATAGATATACTAATGGGCATACCCTTAGATACCCGACTTCATATGGATTGACCTACTCTCTGGAGAGCACTTGGTTGATTTGGAGTATGCAGATGACATCACCCTGTAAAATGAAGACGCTGACGCAATGCGGGGTCTTCCGCAAACGTTGAACAGAAGTCTGTGTTTGGCATGCATCTTACATCTATCAAATGTAAGGTGCTCCAGGACTGGTTTGCAACTACCCCCAGTCTAAGGATAGGGTAGGAAGTGGTAGGAAGCGCTGTCCACTTCAATTACTTGGGAAGTTGCATCTGCCCAAACAGGTTGGTTGCTGACGAAATCTCAGCTCGGATACAGAAGGTCTCCTTGGCATCCGCCAACTTGCATCATGTGGTGCTGACTGGCGAGATATTTGGCTATCTATACTGCGCTGCTGTCTGTCTTGTCATACGGCTGAAAAATGGTCATTAAAAGTATATATGAAGCGGTTGAAGACCTTTGACCATAGGCGTCCTCGCAGCAGTGTCGGCGAATGTTGGGATCACTGTATGAACAATGTTAAGGTTAAGAGAAGGGTACTATGCAAGGAAGGAAAGGAGGTGGATGAGATTATGAACCTTCATTGACTGAGGTGGCTTGAACATGTACCTACTTCAACGTAAAATGATAGAAGTTGGGTTAGATTGAAAGAAGGCTAAGGGTGGACAGATCAAGACTTGGGACAAGTTCAAGACTGTCGGTGTGAATCATATGGGGAGGTTTAGACTATTTGATTGGGGTCTTCGGGACCATAGGAATCAGTGGTTGAGGACTCTCCGTGAAACGGCTGGAAATCGGTAACAATGGTGCAGATGTATTTACTCTGACGTCTTGTAAAGCCTAAATGCTTTGACTAACCTTTATTTTTAAATTCCTTCTCCTCCCAAGCATTTTTGCTTACCTTGATATAATTCTTTTTCTATCCAGTTGTTCTTCGTATGCTGCTGTGAAGTGTGGAAGCTTGGACCGATGGACTTCTGTGTTAGGTTGCACGCTGACTTTTTCTGTCCATTTAACTTGTCCACCCGGTACGCTTACATGCCAAACTTTCAGTCATACAATTTGTGACATGATACAATCCTACACGGATGCTCAGGCTGAAGTAGGTGGACAGGGAACATATATATATCACGTTTATACAACAAAGGCTAAAATTTGATTGAAACAAAAACTAACACACACCTTTTCTCAGTAACAATTTGATCCAATGGTGGGGAATTACGACCGTCAGTGTTATCGCTTTCATCTCGCTCTTCTCCATGAATAACGACTAGTGGCAAACGCAGACGTTCTGCATAACTAGTAGCTCGCGGTACAACCCCAGGATTCCGAGCAACAATGACAGCATTTCGATAATCAGCAATGTATGTCTCAATATACTTTGTCAGAAATGGTGAGGCGCGAAGATTATCAACAGGAACGTCGAAAAAACCCTGCATATGTAAACCACAGTATGAAATAAATCGTTATGGATATTTAGTTTTTATTCGTATCGTATAAAGTTGGCTTCAGAAAATAGTTGAGTAATAACTGGAGGCCAGTGTTGAGCTTTTAAAAAGCGTTTTAGTAGACTGGTGTCAATCACAAACACATCATGCAGGTACTGCTTACAAACTGCCAAAACAGAAGTTGATTTATCGACCTTGCAAAACACGGTACCTTCACTTAATAAAAGATGAATTCACTAATTCACTACTCCACTCTGATTTATGGCTAGTTATGAGCTGAATATGATTTCAATTATCTAAACATGTAACCCTCACTTCAAACGTCTAGAAAAGTTTTCAGTGACTTTATTACCAGATATGTTTTACTTTTGGGTGGGAATGTGAATTATGAGAATTAATAATACTAACATTAATAAAGGTAATAATAACAATAATACAGTTCAACTCAATACGTGTTTACGTAGTAGGGTATGATCCATGAGTTGACAGCAATAAGCAAGACGAGTTTCGAGAGTTTAGGCTAGTGAGTAACATCTGGGCGATGAACACATGTGCTTAAAGACGTGAATAATGGTCGTCTGATACAGGTATATATATATATATATATATATATATATATATATATATATATATATATATATATATATATATATAATTCCTTGGACAGTACTTAATGACGGCTGTCACTAGGACGTCTTTTGTTGGATCTTTTCAAGACTGGACATCTTGATAAGTATCTAATACTAATGCTTAGTGTTACGATATGACCACACTCCCTTTATTAACTATGTCCCAAACCACAAAAACTATAGCCAAACAAATGGCAAAAGTAACTTTGCTGATTTTGGAAATGCCCTCCGATAAGATAAGAAAACTGTATTATGTAACCACTTGTTCGAAAAGTTCTTAGCTGAGTGGTCTCAAGTTTAAACCAACACAATTTCACTAAGGGTTGTCTAAAGGAACAGCTTTACTCCACATAGTGAAAACACTTCATGGCAAATTACACAAACCCAGTTATTAATGAGTCACACTTTCTTCTTTAACACAGATTAGTATCACTACGGCCTTTGTAATTGAGATAACTTATGTATAGGTTGTAAATCCATGATTACTGGACAACCTGCATATTATCTCTGCTATTTCTTAAGGTCAGCAACAACCAGTGATATTAATTTCCTGATTATTGCTATCAAGTTTAGTTTGTTAACTGCCTACCATATGAAAAGGCAAAGGATGGGTAATTGTAACACAGCGTACGGTTTAGATTCATTTTGATCTGACGTTCGCCAGGAAAGAACTTGTAAAGGATGTAGGAATAATTAGACTCACTTTAAATTTAGGAGTGGGGACGCCAGTATAATCAGGTTAATCTGGAACCAATGATTCCTTATTATTACTGCACACTTCATATCTCAAGAAACTTGGAACCTGGCGCTCTTTGGCTACATACCGAGACAGAAACTATTACCAAGAATGCTGTCTTAAATCAAATTACTAGTTTATAACAGGTTAATTCAAATGGTTCTAGATGGAATATATAACGTCGATTCACAGGAATTTCCTTATTTTATTACAACATAGGGTGAAACTAAAGGCCACTTAGGTACTGTACGCGTTTTGCCGCACATGCTTGATGACTAATGGATCACCTGGAAATGTCACATCCGGCGAATGAAAACTCAGATTTATTGTAAATCTTACCTGAATCTCCTTAGAATGCAGGTCAAGAGTGATCAAGTGGTTGATTCCTGATGAACAAAGCATTTTGGCCACAAGTTTGCTGGTGATAGGACCCCGTTTTCTTCTTTTACTCTGTGTTGAATATGGCAAGTATGGCACCACTGCAATAACTTTACGAGCGCAAGCTGATCTGCATGCATAAGCAATAATCAAGAGCTCCATGATATCGTTATTGACGTCTTTAGTACCTGATTGAATTATATAGACATCCCGACCTAAACAAAAATAAACAAAGCAATTTAGTATTTACCTCTAACAGTCTCTCGTATTTCCACCTCTGTCTCACGACTTGACCGAAAAAACACTGAACAGTTCCCAGGCCGAGCATTGAGATGTTGACATACAGCTTTCACTAGCTCTGGATGGGAGTTACCAGCCAGGATAACCATTCCTCGTGACCTTAACAATCCCATACCTACTACACCAACACCTCTATGGGCAACCGACCTAGCCGAACGCATACGACACAGCATCTACCGCAGTGACCTTCAACTGGCGAAAATAACAAAACAGAGCTCTTCGCTCAACTATCCAATATCCAATATCTTTTAACGAGCTGGAGTAAACCAATAGATTTCTTCGCGCTCGCTTCTAGGTCTCGCGGAACGGTTTCAGGTCTTTGGTGGATTCCCATGCAGTAGGTCTACCCACTCGACTGCTGTAGCTCTGGTTAGCCCGACGGGAGGTTGGGTGTTGGTTAAATTTGTAGAGAGTGTGGTTTTTTCAAGGACTGAAGTGCAGATGGATTCCTCATGTGTCGTGCCAACAGACAGCTGGTCGATCTGGTTTAAAAAAAGATGTTTTTGATCTCTCGCGTCTAGTTCTTACGTATTGGTTCGAGTTGTTCGGTTCATTTCTGCAGTGGGCGAGGAAATCTCCTCTGCTTTCTTGCTTTTAGCTTCGGCTAGGCGGATGTTTTTGGGTCAGTAAGTTGCAATTTGTAGAGTGATTGGGGAGCTACGGGTTGCTGAAACGGTTAGACGACTGTCGTGACTCCTGCCCTTGTAGATAACTGAGAGACAATAGTACGGTAGTGATAAAGAATAAAAAGAGTGAAGCGAACGAAGGAAAAGAAAGAAGGAGGGGTAAGGAAGAGAAATAAAAGAGTGAGAAAGGTATGTAGGAGTTGCCCGAAAGGTAAAAATAGACAGCGTAGGCCTATTTCCTAGAAGGGAATTAGTAGGTAATGTGGGTTTATTAGGGAAAGCGATGGTGATTGTTAGGTGGGAGGGAGGTGAAGTGAGGGTGGGCTGGTGAGGTCGGTGACTCCTTGAGTACGTCCATGGAAGACCATGTGAGGTGAAATAACTGTCTAAACGTCTCCTGGATAAGTCGACTGAGGGGGCTATGATGGTATGCCGCAGTAGGGTGTTTGATAAAACTTATACTTCCAGGGAGAAAAGATCGGACCTGAGTATGGTATTGGCTCTCTGATGTGCAATTTTCATGTGGTTTCCTTTGGAAGACCACTGTGTTGCAGGCGAGGTTGATTCACTTGCGTTGTTTGCTTGGTGGCTGATCCTGTGGGCCGTAACAAGGTCATCCCTCTTCCTGTGATAGCCCAAGATGAATAGGTTTAGATGTTTAAGTCTTTCAGGACATGTCTTCCCCTTAGCCCCACAACTGATTTTGTTGCAATTCTTTGTATTTTTTAAGGAGATTGGAGTCTATCTTGAGTGTTGGGGGGGGGCACCGCATTGAAGAACTCTGGATGCGGTGGCACGTAGGATTTGGAAACGGTGAGGGGGCCAAGCTGGCTAGGCGGAAAGTGCGAAATGGCGTTCGGTCTGGTCACCATTTCTTATAAATAAATAAATAAATGTTTCATTCTCACATTAAAAAGTTTAGCATGAGAGAAGCCAGTTTACAGGCTTCATCACGTTGATACATCTCAAAATATCTACAAGACTACGAGTCCTGAGTGGTACAGACGGAATGTCGTTAAGCTCAGTTAAAAACAGCCGGAGATCCTGCTAGTTATGAAACCAACAAGGAAATATTACCTTACAGCGTATACAGAGTGTTTAAGTTTGGATAATAGTAAATATTATCCTCACATAAAGGGTTTAACATGAGGGATACCAGTTTACTAGCACTGTCAAATTCATAATTTTCGAAAGTTTACAAAATGGTATTTAGTATTAAATAATTCACATATAAAGTCATTAGTGTGCATAATCTTATTAAAATTTACTGAAATTCGTGAGATGGGCATAGATTTTCATTTCCCATCACACAGACAGGTTCCACGATCAATATCAAAAGCGCGTGGTGTTCGTATTTTGTGTTATAACCAACCAACGTTGTTAGTCCATCCGCATAGTTTGCTAATTGGCAATATAACAGTTTGTTCCGTGGAATGATCTTCAGTCTTTAGCTATTCTAACTACAAAGGACTCATTTATACAATCTGGAGTACCAATGAAGTATCCAGTTATTTAACCAAGGTCTATGTCTATACTAAAGCATTTCCGGGTCACCGTGTTACGTTCAAAGGTAATGTAAACCAATTCCACCCAGAATATTTGTTGTATTGGATTGATTTAGACGTTGAAATCATCAATAGTCCAAATGGCAGTATTTCCACATAGACTCCGGATGCATTAGTATTAGCGTAAGGAGCACCATTCAAGAGATGCATTTGTTGTATATTAACTTTAATATGAAAAGGTCACTTGACACAGAGTACCAGAAAATATGTAGTATGAAGCTACTGCAGGTAAGTCGCGTTCCGAGCCAATAGGCAAATTGGTCGCTGGTTTAACCATCTGTTCAGAATGTCTCTGCTACTAATACCATTGGGAAAGTCTAATCAGTTCGTCGCAGACAAAAAATCGTGACCAATGGGTTGGGTAATCAGGAAGATGGTTTAGAATTCGCGAAAGAGTGGGAGCAGTTCAATAGTTATTGGCGTCAATGAGCAGGTAATAGTTCCACAAAGCAATTGTGTTCAGACTAAATTTGAGCATCAAATGTTGACATGGAGTCGTTTCTGCAAATGGAAAAGGCAAGAAGAAGCACAGGCAAATATGGAAAAAGAAATTTCTACGTTATCAAATTTGGAGAAGAGAAAAGTCCCTATTCTTTTTGACTTATTCGGACTTTAAGTACGTTTTCATGTATATATGTGAAGTTAACCACATAGTTTTCCCATCATAAGGTTTTTAAAATTTTCTATATTTGGGGTGTACCGTAGTGGGCTTGACAGGAAAACAGTATTCATTAAGTTCATTATGCTGAGAGGAGCTAGTACTCACACCCTTACATGCAATCGTGAAGCCATCTGCATTGAAGGAACTGGAGACTTTAATAACTCTGATTAATACACTTGAAGGTGTGAGTACGTTCACAGCAGACGCAATGGCTTGAACATTGTTATGCGCTGATTGCTCCATTATGCTTCATAATTGTGGATATAGCATGAATGTCAAGAAATTTATGGATATCCGTGAAAAGAAGCAATTCGTTGATTAGACGTTGAAACTGAAACGGGGACGCGCAAGAGCGAATGAAATGTGGAAGCTTATTCCATAACTTGCTGTACTGTATCATAAAGGATCGTGACCTAAGTTTAGGGCGGTTATTTTCGACACGTACGGCACACTCACGATTGTGCAGACTGTATGAGAACATAGGCTTAAAAGTAGGAGCGCAACAGGCATGAGTAATGCCACGTAAAAGGCGGAAAAATAGGCTAGGGTTGAGCTGAAGACGTCTCAGCCAAAGTGGGTCAATTTTCAGTTTCTTACACCTTCCCTCATAATCAAGTTCTTCGTGACGGCCCAGTATATAGCAGGTAAACTTTCTTTGAATTTTCTCAATGTATATCCTGTCCAAAGCATACATATTGCTGAAGATGATTGTGCCATATCCAAGTACAGAGTGGACCATTACTTTGAACAAAAGCAGTCTAGCCTCAGTGATATATACGTGTTTGAGCAAAAGGCTAACTGAGCGTCTACACTTAGAGGACATACTGTGTAAACGTTAGGTTCCGAGAATACCTAATACCTAAATCATATACTGAGTTATAAGACTGAAGCACAGAATCGCCAAGGTGTAAACTGACGTTTGGGTAGGAATTATCGAAACAGAACTCCGCATTTACTAGAGCTAAGTGGAATTTGCCATGTTTCACTCCAAGCGAACAAATACGTCAGGTCTTCCTGGATTTTATTAAAACCCTCACTTAGTGATGAATGGGGGAAGCTATGCACAATTTCTAAGTTGTCAGCAAACAGGTAGGGTTTGCCATATCTTATCACGTTAGAAATATCATTTATGTAAAGGAGGAAGAGTAAGGGCCCCAGCACGCTACCTTGAACGACACTACTCAAAACAGGCTGTGGGGAGGGATAGGTGTGACTCAACTTTACTATTTGAGTACGCTGTCTAAGGAATGAGTTTATCCACGATAAAAGAGGGTCACTAATTCTAAATGATTGAAGCTTCAGAATTAACGGATTATGAGGCCTTTTACCAAATGCTTTTTGAGGTCAAAAAGTAGGGTAGTTACGAAGAGACCTTCATCTAGTCTGCAGGTGACCTCAAAATAATCCAGTAAGCACGTGCTGCATGAACAACCTTTTAAGAAACCATGCTGCACAGGGGAAAGTAGCCGATGCGCAGCCACTTAATCAGTAATTTCTTGCACAACCACATCCTATTTGATACGAGAGACTACAGATGTAATACATTTGAGACCATAATTTTGAATTTCTGACGTCGGCCAGAATTTTTATGTGGCAGATATGTACGACAGCCTCCAGCAGTCAGGGTACCATGCCTCAGTAAGGGATAACGAGAATAGCTTCATGAGGATCAAAGGTATGTCTGCACCGCCCCTCTTCAGGGGAACAGAGAGGATCCCATGGGGTCCACAGAATGCGAGTCCCTTAGTGAAGCAACCGCCCCGACTATTTTTCTCTGTGTAAAGGAAACATTACTTAGCGAACAGTGTGGTGGCATGGGCATTTGTACGTTTAGTAGGCTATCTTCATGCATGAAGCAGCTTGCATCATGTCTACTAAACAGCCCATAGATCTTACCTTGGTCATCATAAAGAATGTCTCCATCAATGATCAGACCACTGGGAATAACTCCAGACAACTTTGCACGGGATTTTAGGATTCTCACTAATGATTGAACATTGCGTGTTTGCGCATTGCAACTGGTTTCTTGCTTGATCGCTTTCAGTAACTTATTTGGTTTGAAGTTCTCATGAGCAATTTTCAATGAAACAAGGGATGAAAAGTCATCAGATTGATAGAAATTTCTGGCATATCTGCGCATGCTGATAAGTACATTTTCTGGGATGAAGTTCAATTTTGGCTTCCTAATTACTACTGATACCTCCGGAGCAATATGATCGTGAACTGCATTCGCGGAACTGTAGAAGATATCACTCAGTTCATGGTTTGAGCTACTGGTGGAATAAGAACCCCAGTCCAAGCATCGCAACATGTGTTGCATC